TCACGAACTAGCCCCATTCGGCTTCCGAAGCTCATGCACTGGCTGGGGCAAGAGCAGATTTATTAATCTGATCGGCCAAGTATCTAAACCCAATGCCGACCGATCTATGCCGCAGTCATTCCACGAACTAGTCCTATTCGGCTTCTGAAGCTCATGCACTGGTTGGGGCAAGGGCATATTTAATTAATCAGATTTATTAAGCCGATCGATTTATGCCGCAGCCACTCCATGAATTATGATACTTGGCATTAAAAACAAAATATAGCCATTTTACAATTGAAAGCAATACCATTCAACAACAACAAAATTTAGCACAAATACTAGCAATGTAAAAAAGGAAATTTTCATTAGTAAATTGGGCACAAATTGTAGCCATTTTACATACGAAAATTACTAAACAAAAAGCTACAAGTCCGCCTGAAAATGCCCAGGAAAACAACTATGGCTATAGCAATACATAAAAATTACCAAACGAAAAGTTGTAAAAATACATACGAAATCCTAAAACAAAAACGTCGCCCAAATTAGTCCTCGGCGTCAGACTCCAGCGGCTCAACATCCACTTGCTCATATGGAATCGGCACAGCCAATGTCACATCAGCGGCAGCAAGGGCTTTGAGCCAACCGTGTTTGATTCCTCGATTCTCGAATTTGGGGACTTCCTCCACGTAATCGTCAAGGGCGTCGCTCTTCCCAGCCTCATACACCTTCGAAGCTTCAAAATCGGCTAATTCCTTCGCCGCCTTCAATTCTGCCAAGTCCGCCTCAAGTTTGGCGATTGCCTCTTGGGCTAACTTGAGCGCAGCCTCACTCGTATTCGCCTGCTGCTCAGCTGCCAACCTGAGCTCATCTGCATTTCTGGCCCTCTCCATCTCAGCCTTGGCCCTTGCTCCCTCCATCTTCGCTCTCATAGCCTCGAACTCGGCCCTGCTCCTTTGGCCTTCAACTTCCGTCTATAAACGGCCAAGCTATTCAACGGCGTCATGATGGCGACGGCCCATCTCCGCTATCTTACCGACCAGAAGACTTCGCCAAGGCGTAACAGTGCCGAATAGCAAGAATGTCGAGGTTAATCCTAAGGCGACAGCTTAACTCTATAATTCCCATTACGATTCTAAAAAAATTGACATTGGGTAGGAGATTAGACTCCAATAACAAAGGACAGCCCTAAGGAATGGATGAAGTGGGAAACAGACTCCACCCTCCGCAATCGATAAGAGAGGGAAAACGATTGTGCTTTCATCGTCCCTCTCTATATCGAGAGTGTCGTCCGTCACAAACGACAAACGGACATCATCAGGGATAGAAAAATCGCGTCGAAAGCCAGAAATTCGATCTGTAGAGAAAAGATCTTTTAGATGCTTTGCCATCTCGATCAGCTTATAGGAATATGCTAAACTAAGGGCAAACCAGGAAAAAGGACTCAAAGCAGAGAGAAAGCAGAGAGGAAGGAGACTTACAAAAGATGGAGAAGACAATGGAGGACGAACAGAAGTTGCAGAAAGGAATCGGAAGGCAGTTCAAAAACTTTAAGCGTCCAAAATGTGCGTGTTTGAGAAGACGACAAGATTTTAAATCATAATAAATGAAGGCGTACGAAGGGGTGGGAAGTTGAAATGATAACCGAGGGGCGTGTGCTCTGACAACCGCGTTGAAATGAGGTTAGCCGCCGAATTTTGGCTCTGACCTTTCGAAGTTCAAAACCAAACACTCCAGCTAACTGTCGTAAGTGAAGTGCTTGGAGGCAATTGTGGGGGTCGAATATTGAGACTGATGGAGAAGCCGAATAATTGGACCTGGGTCGAAGAATATATTTCATTCAACTCCGTCCCGCAATTTAAATCATGCCCTACTGGGCCGTATAGACGATTGAGTAAGGGGCTGAATGAGAAACGATTTGCTGTAAACCGAGCCGAATAAATAATTATACGGCAGATTGAAAGTGGGCTCAGTCCCGAGGCCCAAGAAGGAGAGTGATATAAATACAAGATCATCAGTCAAAGGAAGGTATGTGAGAACCATTACGCTTAACTTATAATACAAGTAATCCTGAGTGTAGAGACTGACTTGCCCGTCGGAGTGCTAATTCCGGCACCCCCGACCGGAGTGTTTATTCTTTTTTTGGTGACTAGCAGAGGATCACGAGCGTCCTCCCAGGATCTGAAAAGTATTTCTAAACCACTTCTCCACACTTACCATTCAACAACTTACAAAATTTAGGTCCAAAAGTAACAAGCTACCAGAGTATAAGCCAAATGAAAATCTGTTCAATCTAGTTAGCCAAAGTCTGCCTCACCTTTAGGGTCCGTTTGGGAAGAGTTATTCCAGGCTTTTTTGGCTATTTTAGCCACAAAAGACAAAATAGGCTATTTTAGCCTCAAAAAATAAAACATCGCATCTAACCAATAATCATTGCACTCTTCTCTCACAAAAAAGTCAAAAAAGTAAAAAAGCCAAAAAGTCCTTCTCAAACCAAGCTTTTTAGCCCAGGCCAAAATAACTAAAAAAATTAAAAAGCCAAAAAGTCACTTCCCAAACGGAGGCTTAATATGTTATGTGAGATTTGAAGAACTATTGAAAAGATTGGGTGATTTGGGAGGGAAAAAAAAATATTTTCTTTTATTCATATCACTTATTGAATAAGTTAAAAGGCGATAAACAAAATGAAAATTGGGAGAAATTCATTTATATTATAATTCTTATTTTGAATATATTTAAAAGTTGAGAAATTTGAAATAAAAATAAACCAACTAATTATTATTTCTACGATACTAAAAGTTGTCCTTTTAGATGCAGAAGAAATAAAAAATGTAACACCTATAAAAAGTTATTTTGATAATATAAAGATGAGAAGCTTCATTTTTTGTCATTCCTTTTATATAGCTTAACCAAACAAGATGCAAGATAAATCAAATAAAACAAAAAATTTCAACATGAATGAGTCTCTTCTGGTTTGTTTTTTCTTTCCTAACTTACGGATAATGTGCCTGTTTGGCAGAAATTATAATTAACTTATTTCAGCTTTTAGCTTAATTTAAGCTATTTTGATGTGTTTGGTTTAGCTTATAGCTTATAGCTTATAGCTTTTTGGGAGTCAGAAATCAGCTTATTCTTTGAGTGGGGCAGGAGATGCTTTAAGAATAAGTCAGAAATCAGCTTATGTTCATAGTTATAAGCTATAAGCTGTTTAGGCATAAGCTATAAGCACTTTCCCACAGTTCTACCAAACAGGGCTAATATCATCAATCATGTGGAGATCATAATATCAGTGGTCCCGGTGCTGAAACCAATTAGAATATCATGATCAAATATATGAACAATATAATAAATTAAAATTTTAAAAACAAAAATTTATGAATAAAATTAATTTTGTAGGAACAAAGGGTATGTTTGATTTGGTTTTAGGAGAGTAATTTTTAAAAATTATTTTGGAAAGAGAGTTTATAATTTTTTTAAGTTTGTTTAATTGTGTATTTTGAAAATAGTTTTGGAGTTTGAGAGTTTGGAATGATTTGATATTTTGTTTTAATTGAATAGATGTGTATGAGAGAAAAAGTGATTGAAAATCAGAGAGGAGAGAGAAAAAATGATGGATTGATGTGTAAGAGAAAGAAACTGATTTTGAAAATTGTTTTGAAAAAATTAAAAACCAAACAAGGTTTTTAGAAAAAATTTCCCAAAATCACTCTACAAAGCCAAACCAAACATACCCAAAAGATTTTTGTTGTTAAAAGCATCATTATAGTATTTTTAGTGACGAAATTAAACATTTAGTAATGAATTATTATTCTTTGAGAACCAAAATTTTTGTCTCAAAAAAGAACGGAACAAATTATTTTGTTTTGTATTTATTAGTGACAATTTTTAAATCTTATCATTACGAAGTTATTTTTTTGATTTTTTTCATAACAACATTTTAACAATTATTTCCATGACGATAAAAATTGGTCTCTAAATATTTTTTGTAACAAAATTTTCACTTTTAAAGATAAAAAAAATTTAATTCTTAAAACTCTTATTTATTATAGTGAAGATATCCATTATTATAAAATGTTTTTCATATCATTAAAAATTGTTGATTTACGTATTAATAAAATTGGTCATTTGTATATATATGTATGTTATTCTATTTCTTCATTAGTTCAGTGAATTATATTAGTATTTGTTTTATATTTATCTGTTGAGAAAAGATACACACCATAATTTTTTTTTATAAATTCGGAAGAAATGTTAAAGACTCATAAATTTACTCAAAATGATATGGTAATAAAATTGGAGTCTATATCATTAAATGTATAACAAATCAAAAATGATACATATCATACAACATAATTTTATCATATATCTAATGATTTATTCTATTCAATTTCATAGAACAATATCCTAATTTCTTAAAAAAAAATTATAAAATTTCAAAACTTAAATATATTGTAATAACAAGGGCCTTTTTTAAACTATTATTTCATATTTTAAACAAACTTTATGGGTGTATTTGTAATTTATTAAAAAAAATAAAAGATTTATATTTCATGATTGACCAAGTATGTTTGCGTAATCTGGAAAAAACTTGCTTTATAATTGGCCAAGAATGTTTTTCATAATTGATCAAGAATGTTTGCGTAATTACGAAAAATACCTGTTGCATAATTGATCAAGAATGTTTGTATAATTACAAAAAAAAAAAAAAAAACTTCACTTAACATATAGGCCACTATTAGTAAATTATTCAAAATAAAAAGACAAAATCGAAAGGAAAAGATGAACCTCAAACAGTTAAGTGATTCTTATATATATATATATATATATATATAACAATGGAAGGGTTGATTTGAAAATGTCTTTGAAATTAATGGTCCAGATCTATCTAATTGAAAAGCAATGGCTCAGATTTATTTTGAAAAATATCTCTCTCACAAACTATCTTCAATGGTTCAGATTTGTCTAATTTAAAAAGAATGGCTGAGATTCAAAAGATTTATCTAAGTAATAAGATTCAATGATTTAGATTTGTTTGCCTATCAAGTCTTACCAAACCACTGCAGTTTACATCATATGTCTGTATGTCTGAACAAAGCTCTGAGAAAGAACAAAGCTCAAAGCTCAATTGAAAGGAAGAACAATGGCTCTAGGTAAGGCACTTTACTTTCTTTTTGTTTTCATTCATTTTTTTTTACCTCTGTTTTTTATAGCTCTATTTTTTTTTTTCATCATCATCCCCACCCAATGGCTCAGATTTAATTTGCTCTCAATTGTGTTTTTTTCATAGTTCAATTGGGTTGACACCCACTTCTCTCTCTCTCTCTCTCTCTCTCTCTCTTTCTATCAAATGGGGGTTAAGGAAAAATAGATTTCATGTTAAGAATCATTTTTATTTCATCTTACTCAAATGGATTGAGGTTCTCTTTAATTATCAATGGTCATATTTTGTTCTTTTTCAATTTTTTGTTTGATTTCTGATTGTATTTTGATCTCTTTTTTTTTGTCTACCAGATTGCTGTTTCTCGATCTGGTCAGTACTTTGATATCTGTTTTTTTGGATTTTCTTTCTCTCTCACTTTTTTTTTTTTGGTTTGGCTGTTGCAGAATCATTTTTGTTTCGATTCATTTAGTGTATTTTTTTTTATACTTCCGGTGGTCAGTGTAGTTTACCAATTTTGAGTAAAGTTTTTTCCCAGCAGCATACTGAACCAAAGATGCACAAATAAATGCTTAAAATGTTTCCAAAAACTCTACTCCATCATGACAGGGGAAGTTCTGGATTTTCCATTTATGTTGTTGGTATGCTCCACACAGCACTCTTACCCACATTTGATCAAACTTGACATGTAATGTTGAAGTGTAGGGATTCTAGAATCTCACAGTTGCATCAATTCAAATTAATTTTTTTAAAGCAACAATCTTTTGATGTTGGAGTAGTTTTCTCATTTAATTCTTTTGATGTTGTTTATGCCAGGATTTTAAATCACATTAACCATCTTTTTTGAGTTTAGATTCAATAGCAATTGTCCAAAGAACTTTCTCTAATATAATGATTATTTGTGAGCCAGATTCAATTCTTTTTATGCTGATCAATTACTCTTCTTGAAAAATCAAAAATCATCTTTCCTCTTCATGAACAGCTTTAGAAAGCTCAATTACTTTGTAATTCAAAACCAGAAGTTCCTTCTGATAAAAATTACTTCTCAATCTTATGCATTGTTGTTTGGTATATGACAAAAAGGAAGGCAAAAGGAAATTGAAAGGAAACATATTTGTGATTAAATAAGCTATATAACAAAATATAACTTTGATCTCTTTTTTTTAGATTTTCTTTCTCTCATTTTTTTTTTCTTGTTGGTTTTGGTTTGGCTATTGATTGTTGAGAGAGAGGAAAAGGAAGTTTCAATCTTATGCGTTGTTGTTTGGTATATGAGAAAAAGGAAGGCAAAAGGAAATTGAAAGGAAACATCTTTGTGATTAAATAAGCTACTGTGTAGTATAACTCATTGGAGTAATTAAAATTTTTTTATTGTAGTTTTTCTATATTGAAGTTTTGCTAATATTTTATTCATAAGTGGTGTAATTTATATTTTTTTATAATTTTTTTTTTGTGGTATAGATTAGTTATTAGTAAGAAAAGTGGGCAATACAATCCATAAGAATTTAATTGTTGTCAATGCAAAATTACTATATAGAATCAACCACAAAATCATATATTGCAATAGTTTTACATTTTGGCCAATAGAGAAAAATGATGAAGATTGCTATGACAGTATTTAATTTTTCTTTTATTCTTTTTAATGTATATTGAAGACATAAAAAAAAATATAATTTGTCTTTTATCCTGTAGTAGTTCAATTTCCCCATCTGTGATATTCATGCACAGGCAAACTTCTTAAAGTAGGTTGTTAACTAAAATATTGTTAATTCTGTATCGATTAATTTTTCTTTATGGCAATTATTAAACCTCACTCTGCCTTCTTACAGTTATATTTTATGTCAACAATCATTTTTATTTCATCTTAATCAAATGGATGAGGTTCTTATTAATCATCAATGGTCACATTCTTACTCATCAAACATGAAAATAGATTTGTATACATTTTTAGTGTTGAGGAGTGCTCTTACTAATTGTGTTTTCTTTTTATCCTTCTGTCTTAGATTTCTTTAATTTTGCTTCTCAAGTAGATATTCAGGTTAGGAGGTCTCTCCCTTGCAATTCTTTATTAGTTCCTGACTTTCTTTCTTGAATTACAGTGGGTTAATAAATGTTCTGGATTAATGAATGAACTCTCTCAGATTTCTTTAATGCTTTGGAATTTTCATGTTTGGTCTTGGAATTTTCAATAATTAGATTAAAAATTAAGCTTTTAATGTTTTGTTTAGAAAGAAGTCTAACATAGTGTGTATACTTATGTATCTTGGTATGTAGTTGTTAAATTTCTAGAGAATACTTATTTTATTTTATTTTTTTGAATAATAGGAATGTGTGATGAATTTTGTGAATACTTACGTTTTTTTTTTTTTTGAATATTGATATACAAGTCTATTTTTTATACTCACTTACTATTTTTGGATTTTCTCTCTTTTTTTAATTTTATTTTGGCTGTTGATTGTTGAGAGAGAGAGAGGAAAAGAAAGTTTGAATTTTATGCATTGTTGTTTGGTAAGGAAGGAAAAGGAAATTGAAAGTTTTAACTTTCTTCACCGTTTCACTGCTTATAAAAATAAATAAATAAATACAACTTTTGAATGGAAAGTAAGGAAAAATGTGTTAAGGAAAGATATTTGTGATTAAATAAGCTACGGTGTCGTATAACTCATTGGAGTAAATAAGTTTTGATATTTGTGATTAAATAAGCTACGGTATTGTATAACTTATTGGAGTAAATAAGTTTTTGTGTAGTATAATTTTTATGAGAGTATTGAAAAGGGCATTTGTAATTGTATAGATAAGGCAAAAGATATTTGTAATTATCCATTTATAGCGTGGTGAGACTTTTTATAAATTTGTATTGCAGTTTTTTACTTATTTTTTTTTCACATTTTAAAATGCAAAATTAGTAATTAAGTTTCTATATTGAAGTTTTGCTAAAATTTTATTCATAAATAGTATAATTTATATTTTTTTTATAATTTACTCTCTTTTTTTTTTTTTTTTTTTTTTTGTCGTATACATGAGTTGTTAGTAGGAAAAGTGGGTAATACAATCCATAAGAATACAACCATTATCAATGCAAAATTATTATAGAGAATCAACCACAAAATCATGTATTGCAATAATTCTACATTTTGGCCAATAGAGAAAAATGATGAAGATTTCTATGACAATATTTAATTTTTCTTCTATCCTTTTTAATGTATATTGAAAACATAACAAAAGTATAGTGTGTATCTTGGTATATAGCTGTTAAATTTCTAGAGAATATTTATTTTTTATTTTTTTTGGAATAATAGGAATGTATGATGAATTATGTGTCAAGTCCATTTTAATGATGATATACAAGTCCATTTTTTATACCCATTTTATAGACTTAGTGATGTGTCAAGAAGGTGATTGGTTGATAATTAGATAATATCTAATTATCAACCAATCCTCTTCTTGATATATCAATGGACCTATAAAGTAGGTTAAACTTTTTGGCCTGAATAGTTATTCTTTTCTTTTTGATTTTTATTGAGATTTTGTTGCAGTTTAATTTTGTAATATGATAGGTCTTTTTTTTTATTTTATTTTTTGTTTTTTTTCTTCTCTCTTAGGCTGTATTTGGATTTAAGATTTGAAGGGAATTTGTTGATTCAAAGGAAAAGGAAATATTAAAAAGTTAACCCTTTTTATTTGATGACTTTTTTTCTTTTTTTTTAGTGAACTGCTTTTAATTTGGTTTTTTATTGAACTACTATTTTAAAATGTTTAGGCTTCTCTATCTCTAAAAAAATTCAATTTATTTAGCTTTTTATCCAATTTATGTTTAGGCTTCTCTCTCTCTACTATCTTGGTACATTTTTTATCCTGAAATTTTGTTATAGTGTTACTTATGGATCAAACTACTTTTGTCAAAAGGTACAATTTATTTATTGATAAATTTGCTTCTATTGATTCCAAATTGGTATTTTTAAAATATTTTACTATACATGTCGAATTTTGTAGGATTGGGTTAAAAAATATATGGAGCTCAAAAAGATAAATACAACTAGATTGCTTCGATGGGGATGTAACAAGGTAATTTCAATTTTAAAGTGTTTTGATATATATATATATAGATTTTCTTTCACTAATATAATAACTCTTTTATTTTCATAAATTAGTAGATTATCGTGCATGCTCTTCACTGGAGATATATACAAGTTGATATAAAGACTTTTTGAAAAGTGATGAGGCGCTCCTAAGAATTCTATGAAAGAACAAGTTTGAAAATCATATTTATTTTTGTAAAAATCATACATATGCTAACTACGATCCAGATTTTGTAAAGTTTCCTATCGATGTGAATTTTATTACTTACAATCGTTTTGTAAAGCCTTTTATCTATGTGAAATTTATTGGCTATCGATGTGTATGTTAGATAATATTCATTTGAATTATTGGCTTATGCTATGAGTTCATTTTTGTAAATGTAACACACTAGGTGATATAGTCTTTTTTGTTTTTTTGTTTTTTCTTCCTAATGTGCTCTTGAATTAGGTTAAAGAAAACTAATCATATTTTTATTTGGTTGAATTTGATTTTTTGCTTCCATATATTATTTTTATCACGAAGGGTGTTGCTTTTATATTAAGTTGATAATTTATCTTCATATAGGATTAGATTGTGTGCGTATTAATCTATTTAAATAATTGTTCATTGCATAAATTTTGTCATTTTTTTGGTATTGCAAAGCATGGCTGGTGTGCTTTATTTAGTTGTCATTTTTTTTTCTATTGTGGAGCACTGATTGGTGTGCTTAATTGGTTATTTGTCATTTTTTTTTTTATTATAGAATACTGGTCGATGTGCTTAATTTGTTGTTCTGCATTTTCTTTGTATTACAGAACATTGGTTGGTGTGCTTACTTTGTTATTTGACATTTTTTTTTGTATTGCAAAGCACTGGTTGGTGTGCTTAATTTGTTGTTTATTTTTTTCTATTACAGAGCGTTGGCTGGCGTATTTCGTTTGATTTTTATTATATGTTTCTGTATTGTGGGACTTATATTTCGTTGTTTGTTTAAAATCTTATACTTTTGTTGTGTTTGAATTTTACGTAGCATTTATGTGTTTACTTTTCACTATTTCGTTTACCTATAAATTTGAAAAATTTATGTTTAAATCGATTTATTTATCAAGTAGCATACAATTTATTTAATTTTCATTTATTTAATTTTCTGCACAGTAAGCTGACCACCAAATCATAAAATTTGGTAGATTTCAACCATTAGATTAAAATTGATGTAAAACTATAGCCATGAGATCTCTCTTCTTTATAGAAATTTATGTGAGTATTGTTATTGGCCAGGGTAATAAAGTGCTTATTTTCTGTTGTAAATTGTAGGTGGGTTAAATAAACAAAAATACTACAATAGTAAATATTTGGTGATCTGATCTTTGTTTGCATTTGTTTTCACGTTTTCTTGGCCAAGGTAATAATTGTGTCATCATTATTTTCACATTTTCTTGATAAATTGTAGCAATTTCCATCACATTGCCTCCACCACTACTAATCATGGACCATACCATGTTTTGCCGTTTAAATTTTGTGTCAATGCAAAAAAACGCAACTATTTTTGCATTGACAATTTGAGTTCAAATACTATATCAATCACAATGATATTATTGAAACTTGCTTATTGTTAAAAATAAAAATTTCTATTGAAACCTATTGTTAAATTTAATTGGACAGTTTTTGTATGTTTATCATTAAGTTTGCATTACAGAAAAGGAGGGTCTAATTTTTTAATTTCTGCATCTCTCTAAATTTTATAATTTTGCAAAATATTTAAATTGAGTGGATCTGAAAAGTGAAATATATTGATTAAAATATTAAAAAGTTCACTAAAAATAATAAAATACAAATTAAAATTTTAAAACTATTTTTGGAAACTCCAAAACTAAGTAAGTTTTGAATTTTAAATTTGTAAAAATTATTTTTAAAATATACAATCAAACAAAATTTTAAGTTTGACAAACTCTTTTCAAAAATCTAATTATAAAATTCATTTGAAAATCCAAAACCATACGAATCATCTATTTATATTTTCACCTCAATTTTTTTTTTCCAACAAATTAAATAAATTACATTTTAACCCAATAATTTTATATTCAATTAATGGTCACCGTGCCTTCAGGCACGGGCAAACCCTAGTTCATATACATATTAGGTGGTAAAATTAGGCATATCCTATTTAAAAATTACTCCTCATAAAATATATAAATTCACTCAACTTGCTCTATATTTATTTTGAATTAGGCTTCTCTCGTGTTCTCAACATATGAGAACTTGAGGGGCTTATACAGCCCACCGTGAGTTTCATTTCATGATCAAAATCATTCATTTTGTAAGACTTTCAGTGTATATTATTCATAAAAAAATTAGTTCAATCAAATAATCGTAAGTTTTTCATTTTGTTGCATTTGTCGTTGAAAAAAATGACGACAATTATATTTTTGAAATAGACCATTTATTTTTTTAAAAAAACAAATGTGATAAGATTAAAAAGGTTGCTATTATCGAATTGACCTAAATTTTTTTTCGTAGATGATATACATTGAGAGCCATATAAAATAAATGGTTCAGATCATCATATCGAGACCCGTAAAAGGCTTTACAAACCCCTCAATTTCTTTCATATTGATATCTAAACATAAGAGAAGTCCAGCCCATTTATTTTAGAGAAATTTTTTTAAAAAGTCCAAGGTAAAGAGGGTATAAGGTATTAGGTCCAGTTGATATTTTTTGTTGATGAGAAGTCCACTTTTTGTGAAATAATTTTGTGAGAAATCCTTTTGTTTGCTTTGGAGAACATTTTTTCCTAATTTTACCCATTAATTTACTTGTTTTTTATTTATTTTTACTATATGTTCAAATTTATATCAACCTGTTCAATTTTTTTTTATTTGTTGAATTTTTATAACCTATTATTTCGATCTGTTCAAATTCATACCATTTTCAAACTTTTCTCTATTTATCTACTCATATTTTCTCTCTCTACTTCTCTTTTTTCGTTATCTATTGAAAAAATCCCTATTGAAAATCTATCTGTTAAAAAAGAAAAACAAAAAATTCTATCTGTTGTAATCATAATCATCAACAATGACAACACCATCTCTCTTTCACTCCTTATCTCCCTCTATCTTTCTCACTTTATCTATATGAATGGAAAAAAAAAAAAAGACAAAAAGAAGGAGCAACCAACACTGGTTTGACCTCAAAACCCTAAACAACCAAACAAAACAACTCAATTTTCTCCCATGCAAGAAAATGTATAGATATATACACATCAGTAGAACGGAGTAAGATCGACAAGCTTTTGAAGTGAATTTAAGAGTTGGACCTCATACACACAAATTTGTTGTCGATGAGACTAAGAACAAAGCTAGGGTTACGAAAACCCAACAAATCTGCGGTTGGTTACTCAAGACAGATCTCGAGAGCGCACTTCCGATAGAGAAGGAGCAGAGGATAGTGGAATTGTCATAAGAGCCACCGCTGATTATTTCAAAAGCTAATCCAAACGAATTTTTTAGTCCCATGCCAAAAAAATCCCAACTCAAAAAAGCCAATTAAAAAAGTTTTTGCCAAACAACAACTCAGTTTGAACCTTTAGTTTTCTATTTTCAATTTTATCAAACAACACCTTACAATTTAAAGTATTACAATTAATCTCACATTGACAAGATGTGTGTTATTTTTTTATTTGTTAAAAATTCAATCATGCTAGAGTTAAAAACGAAAATAGCTTTCGGTGGTAATTTCATATTTACAAATTTATACAAAAATTTATAAATTTAATTATTAAAAGGAAAATGTTTGGTAGCTCAAATTTTTGTGGCTCAAATGGCTCAAATCTGTCAAAACGACGTCGTTTTACACTCAAAATCTGTCAAAACGACGTCGTTTTGACAGATTTGAGCCATTTGAGCCACAAAAATTTGAGCTACCTAGCATTGTCGTTATTAAAATTAGTAAAATTTATCACTATTTTAAAATTATTTTTGAAAACATATAAACTTTTCCAATAAAACAAAATAAATATGTAACAACGGGTATACCTGTACGGGGGCGAAATATCCTCTGCTTTCCGTACTCCTTGTACTCCAAGCCTCTCTTGACGGCGTCTACCTGGTAACAAAGAAACGGTGAACTGCCCGGCGGTGGTGTGTCAGATAGACCCTCCGACGATCAAGTTAGTCCACTTGAGGAAGGAGAAGACAGATAGAGAGAGAGTATTTTCTTTTGGGCGAGAAGTTGCATACCTCTAACGTTCGTCCTCCTCTCTATTTCAAGGCTGGCCATGCAGCCTCAAGATGATGCGCGCACTACCTCTGCTGTCCTTCCCAAGACAGGTGGCAGTTCTCGCCTTTCACTACCTTACGCGTGTAAAGGTTCAGTCCTCCCATCAGTACATGCAGAACTGCCTAACGGTATTGAGGCATGCGTGGAGCAGATGTCCCTTCCCTCGTGCCATTAGCCCAGGTGGCACACCTGACCGCAGTACCACGACTGGCCTATCTCCCACGAAGAACTATCACTACAGGCGCTCAACCGCGCTATGCCCCACCGGACTACCCCTTGGCAAAGGGGCGACGGGGTGATGCTCATGGGCCGGACTGGAGTTGACTGGTTTGTCGTGGCATACCGGTCGCGAGGCATGCCGGCCTCCGTCCGTTCTACCTTCATCCGAGGTTCTCTGGAATCTGCCCATCTCGGCTCACCGGTCACAGACGTACCAACCCTCGCTTGTCCATAGTTTAGCCCGAGCTATCAGTAGCCCGGTCTCGCCACTTGGCTGTGTGCATTGCTGAATATTTGTGAGTCGCAGCTCGGCCAGGCTTAGTTCACGCCGGTCAGCCGGTCTTTAAGACCGAGGAAAACAGATCCGTCCCATCTTAGCTCGGCCGTACTAACGGCGCAAATCTCCCCTCTCAATTGCCCCTTAACCCCATCCGACCTAGTCGTGACTAGGGTTACCATCGTGACCGAGCTAACGGATGAGTTGCGCCATCACCAAGCCGAGCATGATTGGGGGCATATCTATCGCCGAGCTGTCCCGTTTAGTTGGCCATTTCCTCTGCAGTCTCATCAAAGATCGTACAGCCGTACTAATAGCCGCGTTTCCAGTGCCACGTGGCTTCACGCCACTGGGTCGTACAGCCAGCTGTTCTGCACGCGCAAAATTCAAACGGCGCAGCCGTTTGGGGTTCCTTCCCCCCTCTTTTGTATTCCAACGAAGGGCCTAAAACCCTTCACTTTTCACCTTCTCTTCCACACAAGCCCTAAACCTCCCAAGCTTTCGAACCACTGCCATTGCTGTTTCTGTGCCATATCCCCCATTTCAAATCCTTTCGAAGGCCACCATCGAGCTCTCGAGGTCGCGTTCACCCTCGCGCCTGTCCTTCTGGTAAGTCACACTACCCCCCCTTGCATCTTTTGCTTCTACTTCTCAAAGTTTTTCCATACATGTTCTTCATTCCCGTGTCACTATGCTTCGTATTTTTGTTTGTAACCACCAGTGCCCCCTCTCTTTGCTTAGAACCTGCACACCTTAGGGCAAATGGTAACCTTGAGAATAGGAGGGGGCCTCTGAACCCCCCGTTCCTCCCTTGTTCAAACGAGTTCGCCCCACTTCTAGGATGAACAGCTGAAATCTGGGT